ATTTCATACCTGTCATTCCAGGTAGCAGTGTCACGTTGTACCGGCCGTTGTAGAACACCAAAGGTGATCCTTCGTCCAGAGAATTCACTGTCAGTGAAGTGCTCTTCACTTCGATTTCTAGCGTCAGGTTTGAACCGAGGTATTTTATGCCTGTAAGTTAGCATTTCCCAATATTATCGTCAAGTTTTTCAGATGTTTTTTTGAAGGTACTTATCATTATCATCATTTCATCATAATCGTCGGCCGTTTGGTGTAGTGGTTCAAAACGGATACTATGCCGAGAGGTCCCGGGTTCGATTCCTGGCCGGGCAGAAATTGAAATGATGAATTTTAATTTCTGTGACGGGGCTGGGTTTTTTCTATGTATAATAATAATGTGTATGTATTTACAAAAAAAAAGAATTTAAGTATGTATATCCGTTGTCTAGTACCCATAGTACAAGCTTTGCTTATTTTGGGGCTAGCGGCGCAGTGTAAAATGTCCATGTCCATTGTCCAAGGATATTTATTTATTTCAGCCATACGATGCTGCTGCTACTGCTACTGCTGAACATAGGAATTTCCCAACAATTTACAGATTGGCCGGTTGTTACGCAGCCTCATTTTCCTTTCCCATTTAAATTTTACTTAGCAAAAGAAACCTGTGACTTCATTTATTTTGTAACTTTAATAAACTATTGATGTTAATTTTAGTTAATGCAAACTAGTTAAGGGCTATGATTTAGTGTTTTTGAGAATTAAAGAACCCACCTCGGACTCTAAACTTGGTGGCTTCAGGAGGCAATTGAGGCCTGGTAATCTCCAGTCTATCTAGATAGACTCGTACCCCCGCGTAACCAAAGACTAGAGTCTGTAAGAAACCCCCCATCCCAGTGAAGAAATTCACGGCCCCAACATTGGGCCTGCGAAGCTCGGTCCACACCTGTAAAAGTAGAGTTATGTGTGTATTTTGCTTGTGTTAAATTGTGTTTTGTTAAATAAATGAACAAATAAGTAAATGACTTAGGCTGGGCTGCACCATCTTACTTTAACTTTGACAAACGTCAAAAATCTGTCAAACTCCATACAAAATACACCGGTTATTGTTATAGTCACGGTTAAAATAGGGTGGTGCAACCCAGCCTTAGTAGGTTTGTGGCTGAACTCTACTTTGGTAGCCCAACTGGGATGATATTTTATTGATAACTAATTGGATCTTTGAGATGGTTTCATTGTGTTTATAAAACTTATCCTTCGAAACTGTGAACACTAGTTTCATACGTCAGATGCTTTAAGATACAGTAGCTTGTCTCTTTCTTCTCTCTTCAGACATTCTCGCATTGATAGAATCGTGACGTTTGAAGGTTAAGGGAGGTTGAAAGGAAAGGATTACAAATCTAATTTCCCTTTGCTCTCCTAATCTTTTGGGTGTCGTTTAATCAGTCTTCTTACCTTAAATGGTTCTCTCACATATCCCAAGTAGCTCTTGTTAAATAGTTGAGCTGCCCTCAGGTTGTCTTCCAGATCCAAGTGTCCAATGGTGTGCATGCTCCACGTCATAGCAGGTCCACTACCACGCGTTACCGACTCGTAGTATGAAAGATCGTTGACTCTGGTAGTCCTGAAAATGAATTAAGTCCATTTGAACATCTAATTTACCCGGTACCTATAGTACCCAGTACTTAGTGTATCGTAAAACTTAAATATTAGAACTATGACAGGCTCTGGTTAGGGCGCTCTCTAACCAGGCTCTTATTTGGGGTTAATCGGGCCAGTCCTGAATACGTTTTGGTGTTGGGCTGATGATAAAAAGGCTTTCGTAGCCATAGTGATGTCTTGGGAGTAGATTGAAAATTTTCAGCAGTCATTAGGTCTTTGCTGCCCTATGTTCAGTGGGTAGTTATTACAGACTTTTTCACACAAGAGACAAGGCGGCGCAGGACCGGTGGTTGTCGAAATCCTTGGGAGACTTATGTCCAGCAGTGGACATCACTTGGTTCAAACGAACAACGGCAATATTCTTACCTGTTCATCGGATACTGTAAGGGGAATCCCAGTAGCACCACGTCAGCTTGCTTGATGCTCTCCCCTCTTCGGTATCCTTGGAACTGCGGGTGGTAGTCCAACTCCTCGTTGTAGGGTAGCGAGAGGCTCCACGCGATGTCGGCCCAGTGGTCTGGGTCTTTAGCCATGTAGTAGGACTTGCAAAGGCATGCGACGTATCTGGAAATTGAAGAAGAGTTGCAAGGATTGTATCCGTCAGATCATTATCAGATCCTACTTCTGCAGAGGTCTCCTCTGACCCTCTTTACTAGAGGCAAATGGAGCGTTTATCCTGAACACCCCATACCGCTTAATCCAGATGGGTTGAGGAGTCATCATCACTCAGATAAAGGTATGAAATCAAAATAAAAGTTATTGATTGTCTTTTGTTAGGTACTTACTGCGCCAAGTATAGTGAATATCCAGCGACTACGTTTGTGAATGCAGAATTAGTAATATTGCTGTGATCTTCATCTGGGCCCATCACATCTGAAAATATACAAAAATCAATGGACCACTAGTCTCCTATGAATATCCTAGTCTCCTATTATTATGCCTTACTGTAATAATTATACGTATTATTTTTTACGTGGTAAATTAGTTTGTAATCTTACTCACTGGCAATGTCATAGAGTCCTGTGTTGTAGTTGATAACTGCTCGTGATGCCCAAAAATCAGCAATATTGGTAACTATTGAACAGCCACCGTGCTGAAATCGACAGAGTAATCTATAACAACTCAACCAATTACCTACTATAAAAAAATATGTTTTAGGCTGTACGTAGGCCAAGATGAAGTATAGAGCAAATCAGTTCAGTAGTAATTATAAAACAAAAGGTATCCAAAAATTTTAGAAAGAAAGAAAGAAAAAATAATTTATAATTGTTTTTGTTACCTTCAGCCAATCCTCGTCTCTTGTAGTGGCTAAATACTGTCGTACTGCGAAGGAGATGCACCCTGTGATGTGCTGCTGAAACTCAGCCACTTCAGGGCAGCAAGGTTGAGTCACCTCCACGCCTGTGTAGGCGCTTTCCCATGGGTATCTGGAAATGGTACAAAATTCAGGAATTAACAACCACATTTCGACCCAATAACATGATAATATTTACAAAACCCACACTATCCTTTGAAGGTAGTTTTGTTTGTAATTTAATCAATCATTAGCAATGTTGTGTCATTTCAATACACGTAAGTATGCTCACAGGGTTGCGATTTATATTCACCCGTATTCACAAACATTACTATGAGGTCTCACAGTGCGCGTAGACGCACAGGGTGACACACGAACCAATCTCAGAGCTCTATTCAACGCTGTGCGTTCGATTTGCTGCTTCACTTAAGCAAGCATCGTTTGTGAATACGGGCGTTAATTACGTCTATGACGTCTATCACGTAAAGTATTTTTTACGCGATTAATTATATGAGTAAAGTGTTATTTAGAATTTTACCTGTAACCTTTGTTCCCTGTTAATTTAGCGAGCTGTGCAGCTACATACGCGTTGTCTAGCCGATACTGCAGCAGAATCTTCGCGTATTGAGGATACATCAGAAGAATTGATGGGAACATCCACATTTCAGTATCCCAGAAGTTGTGCCCTGGAAACGGCAATAGAATTGGTAATTTGTAGGAAATGTTTTGATCTATAGAATCTAGGGCATATTCTTCTTTATATTTATTTACCTTCATAGTCATCAAAGGTGCCACCTCTGGCGAGTCCTGTAGGACTCAATCCGAAGTACCGGTTCAAGGGTTGATGAGATTCCTCCGAAGGTAGCGAGCTCAGGAAATAGTACCATATCCCGTTGACTATTTTGGACTACAAAAATATGTTAATATAATTCGTGGTGTTTCTTAACAAAGTTTATTCTTGAGTGTACTCTCACCAGATTCAGATTTCCCTCGATGTCAAACCCAGACTGGAAGTACAACTGATGCCAAGGTTCCACATGCTTCTGGTACAACTCTTCGCCATCCTCCTGCAATACTGTATACGCATGTATTTTATGTCAAAGCTAATAGCTACTTCAAGTAATGTTTAATCAAAAAAGCATTTACAAGAAAAAGGATAAGAAAAATATACAACACCACCAACCTTGTAGTAGCTCTTCCCTAGCGATTGTTTTGTTATTGTCTACAGTCATCGCAAACGTGAATACCCTGGATCCATGCTGTGGGACCACCAGGTGGTCTGGCACAGATGTCCAATAAACACAAACATCCACAGGGAGTGGCTGGTATGAAGGATCCTCGGTCTCTTTCGTTTGCCCACAGGAACTCCATATAGTTCGGCCATCGTATATTTCGGGAATCGGGTCCTCAAATGTTATATCATTGCTTGTAGGTCCAGGCATTAGTTTTACGGCTATCCAGATCTCGTGATGCATAAAGTTTGGATCTGTAAAAGTGCAACAAAATCATCATAAACGCCTGAAGAAATGGTTTAGCAAAGTTGCGTAAACGTGAAACAATAGATACTAACCGACATGGGGCTTAGAGACTACTTGAATTTGATTCACTATAGCTCTGGTATAAAACCTATGAGCGTATATCCTTTGGGTAACAATTGATCTGTCTCTGTCTACGCGAACCTTGAAAACGCCGTCTCTTGTGTCTAAACTATAAACTGGCTTAAAAGGAAAATGGGTCAATGTAGAGTTTAAACGAATGTTGGCGTAGCCAGGTATTCTGGNACCTGTACTATTACTTATTCTGTGACCTAACCTAACGAAAACATAACTCGAAAACCTAACCTAACGAAAACCTAACTCCAAAACCTAACCTTACGAAAACCTTATTTAAAAACCTAACTAAAAATCTATTTTAACGAAAACCTTAGGTAGGTAAGTCAATAAATCCATAATCCATGTGCCCTGAGGTAAGTAAGGAAGAACTGCTTCCACGTGAGTACAATTTGCTATACAATCTGTTTTTATTTTAAACATATTTTTTACAGTAGGTATTTACTATAATTTCATACCTGTCATTCCAGGCAGCAGTGTCACGTTGTACCGGCCGTTGTAGAACACCAAAGGTGATCCTTCGTCCAGAGAATTCACTGTCAGTGAAGTGCTCTTCACTTCGATTTCTAGCGTCAGGTTTGAGCCGAGGTATTTTATGCCTGTAAGTTAGAGTTTCCCAATTCGTTAAGTTTTCAGATTTTTTTTGCTTAAATATTTGTTATCATTATCATCATTTCATCATATTATCGTCGGCCGTTTGGTGTAGTGGTTCAGAACGGTTACTATGCCGAGAGGTCCCGGGTTCGATTTCCGGCCGGGCAGAAATTGAAATGATGAATTTTAATTTCTGTGACGGGGCTGGGTTTTTTCTATGTATAATAATAATATGTATGTATTTACAAAAAAGAATTTAAGTATGTATATCCGTTGTCTAGTACCCTTAATACAAGCTTTGCTTTCTTTAGGGCTAGCGGCGCAGTGTAAAATGTCCATGTCCATTGTCCAAGGATATTTATTTATTTCAGCCATAGGTACGATGCTGCTGCTACTGCTACTGCTAAACATAGGCATTTCCCAACAATTTACAGATTGGCCGGTTGTTACGCAGCCTCATTTTCCTTTCCCATTAGCAAAAGGAGCCTGTGACTTCATTTATTTTGTAACTCGACTCATAACCTATTGATGGCTATTGATGTTAATTTTAGTTAACGCAAACTAAGGTTTTAGAGCTACAATTTAGTGTTTTTTTAGAAGTTTGGTAAATCTTAGTTTATGAAGTTTGTCTATCCAAAGAACCCACCTCGGACTCTAAACTTGGTGGCCTCAGGAGGTAATTGAGGCCTGGTGATCTCGAGTCTATCCAGATGGACTCGTACCCCCGCGTAACCAAAGACTAGAGTCTGTAAGAAACCCCCCATCCCCGTGAAGAAATTCACGGCCCCAACATTGGGTCTGCGTAGCTCGGTCCACACCTGTAAGTGTAAGTAGAGCTGTGTTAAATTGTATTTTGTTAACCTCTTACCTACGGGAGGCGCCTATAGTTGCCAAGTAGTCACTTCTCAATACGGGTGGCATCTATTGTAATTTTGGCAAAGCCAATACCAAATCACGGTTTATGAAAAAAATACTATAAAATTGCAAATTAAGTGTAAAATGCGCTTGTAATTATGAAACTACATTAGTTGCAGAATAAAATATTCCAAATTTCAATACCGTAAGTCTCATAAATTTTAAACTATCTTGTGATGTTAAGTGGAGCAAGCAATTTTTTATAGGTTAAAATACCCCGTATTGAGAGGCGAATTTGGTTTTCAAGGGCCCGTAGGTAAAGGGTTAAACAAGTAGGTAAGCAAGTAAGTAAATTGACTTTACGCCCGTATTCACTATGAGGTCTAACAGTCCGCGTTCACGCACAGGGTCACACACGAACCAATCACAGAGCTCTATTCAACGCTGTGCGTTCGATTTGCTGCTTCACTTAAGCAAGCATCGTTTGTGAATACGGTGTTAGCAGGTTTGTAACTGAATTCTAATTTGGTAGCCCAACTGGGATGATATTTTATTGATAACTAATTGGATTTTCGAGATGGCTTCGTTGTGTTTAAAAAACTTATCCTTCGAAACTGTGAACACTAGTTTCATACGTCCGATGCTTCAAGATACAGTACTTGTCTCTTTCTTCTCTCTTCAGCCATTCTCGCATTGATAGAATCGTGACGTTTGAAGGTTAAGGGAGGTTGAAAGGAAAGGATTACAAATCCAATTCACACTTGCTCTCCTTGTCTTTTGGGTGTCATTTAATCAGTCTTCTTACCTTAAATGGTTCTCTAACATATCCCAAGTAGCTCTTATTGAATAGTTGAGCTGCCCTCAGATTGTCTTCTAAGTCCAAGTGTCCAATGGTGTGCATGCTCCACGTCATGGCAGGCCCACTACCACGCGTTACCGACTCGTAGTATGAGAGATCGTTGACTCTGGTAGTCCTGAAATTTTGATTAATGTCCATTTGAAAATTAGCTCTACCAGAAACTTTTGTTTAAAGCATTCATTAGGTGACATTTGTTGATAAACACTGTTTATAAACTGTTCATAAACAATGTTTCAAAATGTTTCATCATCTCTGTAAACAGTTTATAAACAGTTCATAAACATAGGTGATGAAACATTGCTTACGATACATGTTGCCGTGCTCCCCGCTATGAGTGGAGAGCAAGTGTGGACGGCCAAGTTTCAGAAACCTGTGTTTATGGTAAACTTGTTTCACACTATTAGTCATAAACAGTTTAACAACAAATGTTGCCTAATGAATACATGGCTTAAACACCCGTCGCACGCTGGTTCAAGAAATGATAAAAATGGAATTAGCGATTTATTCACTTTTTTCGATGGTATCATGTGTAGAATGTCATAAAAAACGTTTTGTTTAAGTTATATTTTTCTGAGAAATGCGTAGTTTTTGCTATATTTCATGTTTTGTGTTTTATTTGTATGAAACGTTTCCTTCACGAGGCTCTTATTCAAAATGTTAAAGTTTGTTAGATATGACTACTTATAGGTTTTAAAGAGTCATACTAATAGAAGCTAATACAGTAACAACTTTGTCCCAGTGCGTCCCCGTTTAGGATATAAGTGATATTTTCTAAGGTACGAAAAAGTAAACAAAATATATTGAGTCAAAATCTCCTCTTCCTAATGAAGTTAAAAATTTACTAGCTTCAAATAATGATGAAACTTTTGAATTTATAGATGTTGATGATGATGTTGAATAATAAATGATTAAGATTGGAATGATTGTTAGCTTCTTTTTATTTTAGAAAATCAACAAATTATCATAAAGTTGCCTCATATCCATATATTTTGTTTACTTTTTCGTACCTTAGAAAATATCACTTATATCCTAAACGGGGACGCACTGGGACAAAGTTGTTACTGTATTAGCTTCTATTAGTATGACTCTTTAAAACCTATAAGTAGTCATATCTAACAAACTTTAACATTTTGAATAAGAGCCTCGTGAAGGAAACGTTTCATACAAATAAAACACAAAACATGAAATATAGCAAAAACTACGCATTTCTCAGAAAAATATAACTTAAACAAAACGTTTTTTATGACATTCTACACATGATACCATCGAAAAAAGTGAATAAATCGCTAATTCCATTTTTATCATTTCTTGAACCAGTGTGCGTCGTTTGTTTGTGATGATCTTCTATTGCCATTCAAAACTAGCCTCTTATTTGGGGTTAATCGGGCCAGTCCTGATTAAAATTTTGGTGTTGGGCTCCTGATAAAAAGGCTTTTGTAGCCATAGTGACGTCTAGTCTTGGGAGTAGATTGAAATATTTCAGCAGTCATTAGGTCTTTGCTGCTCTATGTTCAGTGGGTAGTTATTACAGACTTCTGCACACGAGAATAAACAGGTATGCCCTAATCAACAGCAAGGCAGCACAGGACCGGTCGTTGTGTTAATCCTTTGGGGAGGCTTTTGTCATCATTTGGTTGAAACGAACAATAGCAAGATTCCTACCTGTTCATCGGATACTGTAAGGGGAATCCCAGTAGCACCACGTCAGCTTGCTTGATGCTCTCCCCTCTTCGGTATCCTTTGAACTGCGGGTGGTAGTCCAACTCATCGTTGTAAGGCAGTGAGAGGCTCCAAGCGATGTCCGCCCAGTGGTCCGGGTCTTTCGCCATGTAGTAGGACTTGCAAAGGCATGCTACGTATCTGGAAATTGAAGAAAGTTGAAAGAAAGATACATTTATTACAATGGACATCACACAAATACAGGCAATTACATAGACATGACAGTGGCACATAATAATAAAAGAAGAAAAAATAAAAACAAGAGTAAACTGAGCAGTGCCACCCATTCACCAACAAGATGCCCACTGCAACGGGACCCCACTCAGCATATGCCGTGGCCCATGGTGACGAAGGCCACGGCGCTGGTTTTCAGTGTGCCCCATGCCGAGTGAGGGTCACGGACCATTGGTAAAATAAAAAATAAAATAGCTGCATAAAATTGTCTAGATAAACATACATAAATGGTAATATTAGTGCACAGATAAATACAAAAGGCGGGAAATCGGTAAGGATGATATGACTACGTTTATTAAGAATACTATTGAAAAGAATACTAATAAAAAGATAAAACTGTTTGTATAGGTGTGTGTGTAGTAATTGTGTTAATGTGTAATATTCGTAAAGAGTGACATTTGCAAGGATTGTATCCGTCAGATCATTATCAGATCGTACTTCTGCAGAGGTTTCCTCTGACCCTCTTTACTAGAGGCAAATGGAGCGTTTATCCTGAACACCCCATACCGCTTAATCCAGATGGGTTGAGGAGTCATCATCACTCAGATAAAGGTATGAACTCAAAATAAAACTTATTGATTGTCTTTTGTTAGGTACTTACTGCGCCAAGTATAGTGAATATCCAGCGACTACGTTTGTGAATGCAGAATTAGTAATATTGCTGTGATCTTCATCTGGACCCATCACATCTGAAGATGTTCAAAAATCGAGTATGAGTAGGTATTAGATGGTGGCCTATTTTTTGAGTTTCGTAACGAAAGTTCGTCATGTAATTTGGCTTACTCGCAATGTCGTAGAGTCCTGTGTTATAGTTGATAACTGCTCGTGATGCCCAAAAGTCAGCAATGTTGGTAACTATTGAACAGCCACCGTGCTGAAATCGAAATTAAACCAGTGTAATTTTGACAACCCAACAATATTACTGGTGTTACTGGTTGTAAGTACTGACTCTATATTTTCATGCTTAGTGCGTAGGCAAAGATGCTGTACAGCAGTATCAAACATTAAGGTATCCAAAAGCATTTGACATAAGGTACATAATTAATTTGCCTTTTATTGTTACCTTCAGCCAATCCTCGTCTCTTGTAGTGGCTAAATACTGTCGTACTGCGAAGGAGATGCACCCTGTGATGTGCTGCTGAAACTCAGCCACTTCAGGGCAGCATGGTTGAGTCACCTCCACGCCTGTGTAGGCGCTTTCCCACGGGTATCTGGAAATTATACGAAATTCAGAAATTAACAACCACATTTCGACCCAATAACATGATAATATTTACAAAACCCACACTGTCCTTTGATGGTAGTTTTGTTTGTAATTTAATCAATCATTAGCAATGTTGTGTCATTTCAAAATGCTCACAGGGTTGCGATTTATATTTACACCCGTATTCACAAACATTACTATGAGGTCTCACAGTGCGCGTAGACGCACAGGGTGACACACGAACCAATCTCAGAGCTCTATTCAACGCTGTGCGTTCGATTTGCTGCTTCACTTAAGCAAGCATCGTTTGTGAATACGGGCGTTAATTACGTCTATGACGTCTATCACGTAAAGTATTTTTTACGCGATTAATTATATGAGTAAAGTGTTATTTAGAATTTTACCTGTAACCTTTGTTCCCCGTTAATTTAGCGAGCTGTGCAGCTACATACGCGTTGTCTAACCGATACTGCAGCAGAACTTTTGCGTATTGAGGATACATCAGGAGAATCGAGGGGAACATCCACATTTCAGTATCCCAGAAGTTGTGCCCTGGAAACGGCAATAGAATTGGTAATTTGTAGGAAATGTTTGCATCTATAGAATTCAGTGTATTCTTCTTTATTTTTACCTTCATAGTCATCAAAGGTGCCACCTCTAGCGAGTCCTGTAGGACTCAATCCAAAGTACCGGTTCAAAGGTTGATGTGATTCCTCCGAAGGTAGCGAGCTCAGGAAATAGTACCAGATCCCGTTGACTATTTTGGACTACAAAAATATGTTAATATATTCATGGTGTTTCCTAATAAAGATTATTATTGAGTGTACTCTCACCAGATTCAGATTTCCCTCGATGTCAAACCCAGACTGGTAGTACAACTGATGCCAAGGTTCGACATGCTTCTGGTACAACTCTTCGCCATCCTCCTGCAATACTGTATATGCATGTATTTTAGTGCAAACCTTTTCAATAGCTAGTTAAGTCAATCAACAAAGCACACAAAAAAGGTTACAAAACTTAAATATTGTACCAACCTTGTAGTAACTCTTCCCTGGCCAATGTCTTGTTGTTGTCCACTGTCATCGCAAACGTGAATACCCTGGATCCATGCTGTGGGACCACCAGGTGGTCTGGCACAGATGTCCAATAAACACAAACATCCACTGGTAGCGGCTGGTATGTAGGGTCCTCAGTCTCCTTCGTTTGCCCACAGGAACTCCAAATCGTCCGGCCATCGTATATTTCGGGAATCGGGTCCTCAAATGTTATATCATTGCTTGTAGGTCCGGGCATTAGTTTCACGGCTATCCAGATCTCGTGGTGCATAAAGTTTGGATCTGCAAAAGTGCAACTAAATCATAACGCCTGGAGAAATAGTTTAGCAAAGTTACGTTAAAGTGAATCAATAGATACTAACCGACATGGGGCTTAGAGACTACTTGGATCTGATTCACTATAGCTCTGGTATAAAACCTATGAGCGTATATCCTTTGGGTAACAATTGATCTGTCTCTGTCTACGCGAACCTTGAAAACGCCGTCTCTTGTGTCTAAACTATAAACTGGCTTAAAAGGAAAATGGGTCAATGTAGAGTTTAAACGAATGTTGGCGTAGCCAGGTATTCTGGCTCGGCGACTTACGCCCTTACGGCCATTGTATAAGCCATTCATGTAGACTGTATCACTAAAGATATTGGTAGCTACATGCCCATTCCCTATGGAGGGCATAAAGCGGTCTTCACCTGGTAATCTGAAAGTTAAGATAAATGAAATATTTATTTATAAAAATAATCGTGTCATTTTAAAATATTTTCAAGTTCTGACATGCAGCGAATTCAATTTTTAACAATAATTAGAAAACTATCAGCAATTATGTTTATTGCAGTCGATATACATTTATTATGAAACAAGACTCGTCTAACGCAGTTATCGTTACCTCGTTAATTAATTCTAATCTCAAATCTAATTATAGCAGTTTCCTTCGGAGCTTGATTTCATCGTTGTGAGTCTTTGCTACTAATTCATAAGTAGGCGCTTCCTTAGTTTCTATTACGACGAGCAATACCGCTTTTAACAGATGTAATTACGGACATTCAGGAACCTGCGTGGCATTTTATTACTGTAGCCAATTAACGGAACCGTTAATAAACTAATTGAGATATAAAATGCAAATCCGTGGTAATTTAATACAGTTTAAGGGTAATGGTTGACGCTTTTTATTAATTTATCGCAATCATACAGATCGTGATGGCTGTTATAGTGATAATTACATGAATTACATTGAAATGTGTTGCCATTTAAGTTCTATTTACTAGTTACGTGATAATAGATAAGTCGGTGAAGCTCTCTACAATTCTACATACACTTTACTCGTAGTTCAGTGCATAAAAATACCTAATTGTTTTGTTTTGCACCATTGTGATATCCAAAATTGAAATTCGGCATTTTGTTATAGTTGATTAGAAAGAAAAAAAAAACATTTATTACAATTTCTGGAGTAATTACCTACCTACTTACCTACTTCTGAAGAGTCTACATATAAAGCGTTCCATTACCTTAATGAGTTCAACAGTCCGATTACTTTTAAATAATTAATACCTACTTAATTGTGTTTTAAGTAGTTCGTGCTCTAATTTCACAGGTCCGTATTATGCAGTCTGGCTTAAATTAAAGATAAGCTGGTTATAAAACGCATTCGAACATGACACTCCACCTTAATAGGCGAGGTCGTAAGTTCAATTCTCCGAGAAGGTCAGTGCAATTATGCAAGTAGGTACTAGCTGTGCCCGCGACTTCGTACGCGTGAAAACCCGTTTTCGCAACATTTTTCATTATTGCTCTGCTTCTATTGATCGTAGCGTGATGTTATGTTGTATAGTCTATAGCCTTCCTCAATAAATGGGCTATCTAACACTGAAATAATTTTTCAAATCGGACCAGTAGTTTCGGAGATTAGCGAGTTCAAGTAAACAAACAAACAAACTCTTCAGCTTTTTATAATATTAAGTATAGATAATGAATATACTCGGTCCCATTTTATGTAATGTTTAAAGTACTAATCGGCAAAAATTGTAACAATTGCGAACACCTTCCTTGAAAAAAGTAGTTTCTATTTTTCTTTTCGGTTTTCAAGGAATGGAAGCCCAAACATAGATTAATTAAATAGTTACTGGTTCAACTTTTAATAAATAATTTATTATTTGCATATTCTAACAACATTACTCTTGTGGTGCCTCATAATTACTTACTTGAGTAGGTATTTATGACTCTACCTTTAGTTGCTACTACTTGAAATCGATTTAGCAGAGACGGGCCATTTTTCCAATATGCATTAGCCATTAATTATATCTTAAGTTTCATCATCATCATCATTTCAGCCATAGGACGTCCACTGCTGAACATAGGCCTCCCCTAATGCTTTCCACGTTGATCGATTGGTAGCGGCCTGGATTGGATCTTAAGTTTAAGCTTCATTTAAAATTCTTTGAGCTAACGTAGTTCGATTAACTGTCAATTAATTATTATGTCGCGTTTAATAATGCCAAAGTAACAATGAACATTTCATTCATTAGTCGCAGGCTGATAATGATTAAACAATATTTTTCTTTAGCGTTGCAATGTTGTTGTTGTAGCTAGCGATATGAGTGAGAATAATAATGTGAACGAACTTTTAGAACGAATAACAGTTGAAAAATATTTATAGGAATAAAATTTAATATTTTTTGTAGTTCTTTACGCATGAAATGAAATAAAAACTTACGTGTAAGTGGAAAAAATGTGTGGATCATTGCTAATATCGTCAGTTTCTTCAGGCTGGTTCTCCACCAGGTAATGACTGGATCCCTTGGTACTGAGGACTATAACCACAATGGCCGCCACGCCTAGCACACCAAGCATGGCTGCTACTTGTTTATTTCGCGCCAAAAACTGCCACATTCACGCTTGTTTTTTTTTCAATCGATTTCACCGAGGAGGTCCGACGCACTGATTCGAACCAAAGAGGTCGCGACCGATAAAGTAATTCGAATATGTTTAGTCTGGACAGCGCGTGCGGCGATCGCAGCGTCACCTACGAGATTACGTCCCTCAGTGATGATGTGACACACTTTATTGTACTATTAACAATGATAATGTAGGGTCATCTCTGTCAGGAAATCCTTTATTCTCATTTAATATATTTTTCCATTATGCAAAATTCAATTCATTGTCATATTGTGAGGTTAAAAAAAATAAAACAATACTGAGTGTAAATAGGCTCTACTATGAAGTTTTTAATGACCAATTGATGTCGAAGGGGCATCCCTAAACATAGGTTTGGTCATCAGCTAATTCAATTGTCGCTTCCTCATTTTCTTAACTCGATATAGGGGAATAGACGTTGTTTGACGTGCTCGACAAGACAATACCAGGATCTTGAGATCAAGTGAATTAATTATTACAACCTGCGACGGTTCGACGAACTCAGGTGGGCTTTGGTCCGTGTGGGCTGGGGTATGTGCGCCAATGTTGGACGAATAAGGTTGGCAACTGCACTGGCAATTAATATTTGGCAACTTTATGTACGATGAACAATATTAAACGGCTGAAAAATGCATTTGGTTCAGATGAACCAAATGCATTTTTTAAATATTGACTCTACCATGCTGGCCAGATGGCCAGCATGGTAGAGTCATTCTTAATTGATTCTAGTTTTGGCAAACATGAGGCATGTATAGTATTTATGAATATGTTTTACTTTTGTAAGGTCTAGACTAAGTTTTTAGGAATATTATGGTTAGAGTTATGTAGTACCTGCCACTGGAACCAGAATTGACCGGAAAATTTGACAGTCCAGAAAATATTTATGCAGGCGGTCAACCGCACTCAAGTGTTTTAATGGAGAGTGGGAAGTGGACCATGGACTGAAGTTGAAATAAAATACCCAATGAAATTCTTTTTCTTTTTTAATAAAATAAAAAAAAACTCAATTAGAAAAAAGACAGAAAACTTACTAGAATAATTTAGAAATGGCGAAAATTTTTGTTTAGAAAACACGTCATAAATTATCAAGTTTTTAATGTAATATACTCCGTGTAAATCTAATTTAATTGCAAGAAATTCTTCTACAAAACTTGGTGCTCTGACATTGATGGCTGGTTATAATAATTCATGTTTTGAATGAAGTAGGTAGTGCGCTCGCGCATCAGACCGTGTACCTCCAGTCACGCTCTGGTACCTACTTCGACGCTTCCAATCCATTTGGAAACCGAATTCGGTTGCTAAACATGTCTATTGGTTGCCACTTGTCATTGTTTTCACTTTGTTTAACATTGGCCACGGTTCACTTGGTTTAGGGTTTCGTACATAGTTTCATAGCTACCTCAGAAAGATAAATTGAAACTTTTTGGGAGTAAATTGTAGATTTTTTGAGCGTTTTTTGGTCTCTATGCTTGCTAGTCTTGAACTTACTTAGGAACGCGAAAGCTGTAGGTAAAAAATGAATAAAAAATCAATTCATCAATTAGAAACTTGATAGATTACCTACAAGAAGCAAATAAGTAACACAAAAGATAAAACGAAAATAATTACAGAGATAATTCTATTTTGACTTTTACACACAAAAAAATACCAATTGGAATTGGTATTTTTTTTTCGTTATAATTGAACTTTTAAAAGTCTTCGCTTCTCAAACTTAATACATAACAACCCCAATTAAGAAGGCATGTAGGTACTAAGAATTCAGTCATGTACGTTTTTATTTTATAAATTTTCTGGTACTTATTATACTTCGACACACACAATTTATTCGTAAAACAATTGACAGTCCAGCGACTAATATTTACTATTGTAAAACTTTTAATCATAATTGGAAATCCTCGTAAGTTCCATCAATTAAATTTTTCCAAAGGCACATTAATTATGGGCAATTAAAAGAGCAGTGAGATATGATTTCTGTAAGACGGTGTCGTTACCCGCCCGGGTGGCCAGGCGTGACGCCCTCCGCCGCGCTCGGCTGGCGCGCGGTCACCCACCTTCAAGCACCAGCTTTGAGCAGTAGTGTTGGCAGTGTCCCGGTTTTCGTGGAAACCGAGACATTGTAACATTTTTGGGACAGGATTTCCCGGCGGGTACCTTGCTTCCCTAGAAAACATGACAAACGAGACAGTTTTATAAGATTTTGAACTTCCGCGTTCCATTTCGACTTAAATAGAAAGACAAGGGTCTTAACGCGATATTTATTAATGAGTTACATTATGTACTCACGGCTTAACGTTTCGGCTGCTATGCTGCAGTCGTGGTGGTCTATTTGTGACAGTTTTAATTCTGGAGTCGTTTCGTTTCAGCGTTCTGTGATAAGTTATCAAGACAATCCTGCTTTTTCACAACTTTTAATTGTATGATGCAAAACGCGAACTTAATGCTCTAGCATTTTTCAGTCAAACTTTGGTTAGACCAAGCAGAAATAAAGAGAACTAGAATTTATTATAATAGAGTATGTTAATAGTATGTAATTTTTAATTAGATAATCGTTACCTATCATTTATGTATAATATCACGTCACGACTTTCCTGTCCCAATCCCGCTTTTATTGCATGTCCCGATTTTTAGAAAAACGGCCATGGAAACGTTAGCAGCAATCGATAATAACCACTAAGAACATGCCAGAAATGGTCATTTAATTATTGAAGGCACACGGTTCACTTGGCGCGTGGCTACCGTTGGTTATTGTAAAGCATCTAATGATGGTTATAGACTCATAGGTAATAAGTAAGAATTTATTAGATTGCAATTAACCTCACGCTAGTGAGCAGCCATTGGCTCTGGGCGGGCATGGTTGGAAGAACCTGGATGATTTTGCCCATTAGTGGAAGGAAGAGTACTTATAGTATAAGTAAATATCATTATCCTTAGGAAAAACCTATAATGATAGTTATTTATAGTGTTTTTCAAGCAAAAGATAAAAACGCTACTAAATCCTATCATTGGCATTTCTTTAATGGATCAGAGAGCCATAAATGCTATTTCATTAATACCTTTTTAAAGCTTGAAGATCTTGAAAACATTGATTATGTGGTAGAAGTAGAAGCATCATTAGATCCATTCCGTTTCCTTCCCGAGGTCAAAGCCTTGAAAGTCTTTCTTTATTTCCACAGAGTAACCACGATGCTTGTGTGTGCGACTCGAGGAACATTAAAGTAATTATTTCATACAAGAACTGAAATATAATTTTCTTTTCCATTCCCTCATAATGCTGTAGAGGGAGACAGCACAACTAGTTGATATTGCTCTTCGTCACGCTCTGCTGCCGATGCAGTCAACAAACTTGGATTTGCTCGGAGCTTTGATAAAAATCTCGGAAATTTTAATTCCTACCTCGGTTGAAGATTAGCGTTTGATTGTTAAAATAGCCACAGTATTACAATTAAAGTTGGAAAATAACCATTTCGTAACCGAATTCTATGCATTCAAATGTATGAAACTATTCGCCATCGTAAAAACATTTAAACTTATTCAAGAATTTTCCTAAAGGTTCCTCCACGGATTTCACAACTAATTTTAACGAAACATACGTTCACTTAAAACATTTCACTATTTCTAGTAAGTATAAGCAACCAGAATGATTGGATGTGTAATAAATCCTTGGAATTAAAATGATTTAACCATACAACGGTTCCACATTATCTGTATTTTGAAGCCATCATTTTAAACAAGAGTGTATTCAAATTCTATTTATTTATCATTGTGAACGCAACTGATACCGGTTGTATCAGGTCATTGCTTCCCAAAGGTTGGGGCAAATCACCCCAGCTACTTTGAAGTTTCAAAATCGGGATAAACCCAGTAAAGCAGGAAGGCGCTGGATGCAGGCCGCTACCAATAGAGTGATGTGGAAATCATTGGGAGAGGCCTATGTTCAGCAGTGGTCGTTCTGTGGCTGAAATGATGAAGATGATGAAAATCAGGATGAGGCCTTAGTACCTAAAGATAAAGACTAACAATTTCTCTTTGAAACATCAACCATAGTAATACAACTGTAGATAAAAATGAATTTTCCGGTCTAGACATAATAATGTGTGGAAAGCTAAAGACGACTTCAATGTCGCTTGGCGCCACAAAGTTGTATGATTGATTTTCATTGTTGGCTATATAAATGTGCACAAATTAAAGTAAATTGATAAAGTCGCCGCATTAATGAAGCAATTAATACTGTGTTTTTGTAGTTTTAGTGTAATTAACCATGATATGTTTTGTTCCGTGATGTTTGAGATTCTTACTGTAACCTCGATCCATAGAGATACTTTGTCAGTTGCTTTTCTCTTCTTTTCACGTATAATGAAGAAAAATATTTACTTCCTTGTCATCATCATCATCATCATTTCAGCCACAGGACGCCCACTGCTGAACATAGGTCTCTCCCAATGATTTCCATAATGCCCAGTTGGTACTTAATTCCTTGTGCCCCCATTTAAATATTGAGAACCGGTGTAGCCCACTTCAGTATAACAGCATCGGCAACAAATAAGCCCCTTTAAACAAATTAAAGGCACATAAAGACGATTTAAGCAGTAAAACGATAGCATAATTGGTCTGAAATACAGCCTATTATGGAGTTGTCGTTGTAGCTCAGGCTAGCGGCTAGTTAGGGCAGCGTGAACAATATTGGCCTGATGACGATTTAGGGACGGATCGTTGCGTAAAGGCCCGTATCGTAACATAATTCGCAAGATAAGACGTATCGGTGGGAAGTTACTGTAAGGATGTGCGTTGAATATCTATTAGACGACAGCAACAAGTAGGTTCACTGGGAAAATAAGTTTACTGCAAGCAACTAGCATGGGAATTCTTTTTACATTGGTTATTGTTACGATAGTACTGTCAGTTTTTAAACAGATAGCGATAAAATGCCCGTCCTACGTGTCTACTTACAACTTCCGGCTAAATCATTTACTTTTACTTGCCCTTTTCATTTTTTAAGAAAGAAAACTATTAAGAGTAAAAAACTCGCAAAAGAATTTGACTTCCCATAAAAACTGAATAGCTGCTTTTTGCCAATAAGGCTTTAGAAATGCGACTTTCCAAAACGCACCGCTT